CAATTGGTATGTTCCTGCATAAACAGGAATAAATATATATATGTCATTTGAGGTGATCGGATGAATGCCCCCAAACGCTTTCGTGAATATTAGGATGTTTTTGCTTTTTTCGACTAGGAGACGATCTTTTCACCAAGAAAGTTCTCAGGGTATCCACTTTTACTTTTTAATTCAAAGATAACCTTGAGTTGCCTACTAAGGTAGTAGCTACAGGAGATTTCCTTTAGTGAGAACTATTTCAAGGTAGCTACGTAGCTGTAGGTAATGCGTCACAAAAATAAGCAACGTACGCTGACTGTGTCTTAATACATCAAACGTTGTATAACTGGTCAAATCGTAGCTCTTAAATACTAGTTGGTCTTATAAATAATGAATGTCCTGTACAAGCGTTCATTTCGAAATGCATACCTATCTCATAAACATTATGCCTGCATGTGGTATATTTAGGGCTGATACACCGTGTGATGTGTTCTGTGAAACACGCTCATATCACGATTAGGGAAAGAAGAACAGGTCAAGCAGGATAAAGTGACGTCATTAAAGTCTGTTGGTTGTAATTAGGTGCATTAAGGCGTAATTTATTTAATATCCATAAAGTAGTTATGCAAATATTGCAGCTGTTGATCGTAAAAGCAATGGACATCAGATAATAAAAATTGTTTCTCAGATCATTTTCAAGCAAACAGTCTATTTGGTGATGTCACTGCATACTAACAGATTAATGAAGTAGCGATCAACACTAAGTCACTACATTTACTTGTACTAGAGACTTTGCGTTTAGCAATATGCGGACTTGCGACTGGCTGAATAAGGCGACCTTAGAGTATCGAACAGGACAGAAGTATTACTCAGCTTGCTAAATACAACTCAGTTTTTAGAATGTGCTATTGTATAGAAACAGACGCTAAATCCTATGAATGACTAAAGTAACAGTTTCATAATACTGCAGTAAATCTCCATCTCACTAACATGCATAGATCCGAATTCACATATTACGAAAGCATATAGTATAGCGACGCCTTGAAGAAGTCCAGGAGAAGTTATAATTAAGAGTATATTGAACATTTTATCAGTTTACACAAGAAAATTTTGATAATGGGTATTAGCGTTAATTTGACCGATTGACATTTCATATTGGACAACCTCCATTTACCTAAAGAATAAAGCACAAAATGTTGTAAAATGTATTTCCACAAATCAGTAGACAATCTGAATACACTGATTCTCTTAATACCTATGCAACGACGGGTAGCGCCGTATTTCCTTCTTTTAACGGACCCATTCAGATGGGCCGCACACATACGACTATCTACCGGGATCCAGTCAAGAAGTGTTTTTCCGCCCTAACACTCAGTGCAATCCCTACACCTGCGAGTCCTCGCGAGCTTGCTGAGGGGTCTCCTGACACGCTTAAAGTGAATTTCGTGGATTCACCTTGTTGGCCGGATGAGGTCAAGTGAATGACCACACTCGGGTCTTGTATGCGTGTCTCCGAAACACAACATACATCCATGGCTCTAGATTCCAGAGTTCTTGCTAGTGATGCCTGTTGTCCGATTCGGCAGGGGGACCAGACGTTGATTGCTCCTATATGAAGTTGGCGACGTGGCTTTAAAAGGCTGTCTGGGGTGTTTCTATGGCTCCTACCTTTGTTTGTGGACACAGATTGAAGTGAAGATGAGTCACTAGCATGCAGAATAGTGCTAACTGTAGTTGAGAAGCAAGATGATGAAAGTGATGTGAGTAAGGGAGAGTGATGCTCAGGAAGGCTTCGTGTGCTTTTGGAAGTGTGTGAACGGTTGTTACTTCCCGGCTGCCAGCACCGTGGAAGTTGATTGATCCTTCGGGAACCTGAAACAGAGTGTTGCGTGACCGAGGAGCCCAGGGGACAACTGCTTGAGGCCGGTCACACGCGGCCTGTTTTTGTTCGTTCTTTTTTGTTTGGCGTGTCCCAGTGGCATATTTATCACTTCTGCCCTGTGACATGGCAGCAGGAAGTGCTGTCCTTTTTAATCCGGGCCCCCCGATCCGGTATGATATTTTGTGAATTTGTTTGAATCATAGTATTGGACTGGGTAGCTGCTTTTTGGGGTGATGATAAACGTCATAGTGATATATTATCGCGCAATGTATGGGTTATCGTGTTCACGCCTAAAGAGGCGTTATAAGCGTTTACTTTTGTGAAAGTAGATTATATATGAATGGTTTCAGGCTTCTATAGCCAATGGATAAAACTGTCATGATATCCCAGAGGATGTATCACTTTAAGAACTCATCGTATATAAGAAATTTAGCATAGAAAGACTATTATTTGCGTTTCAGAGCCGTAATGGTTTGTTATTTGCTAGTTTTTTGAGGATATTAAGGTTGAAAATTAACTATAGGCAATGGTCGTTTCCATGGCAGTTATTCTATGATAATGAGATATTTGAAGGAGAACTAGCCCACAGACACAAGTTAAATGTACGTTTTGAGGATGCCAAACACTTTTTTATCATTATCTGTGATGACTGAAATATTCTATAACACATCGAAGAGAGCATGCGATGAATGAGGCAATCTGCTGAATTTCCTGGTGATCGTATCCATTTCGATGAAGTTTCTAGTTAAAATTGCTCATGTGATTGCAATTTATAACCTAACTTATTGTGCCTGTAGAGATGTCATGCATTCCTTGTAAACAGCCGTTTATACGACATATTAAATTGTTGTTTGCTTGGTGCTATACTTCAGAAGAGGAACAATGTGTGTGACAGTGAAAACCGCAGAAGAATGCTGTCATGACCAAAGAATGAGAAAGGAGAATGAATCTTTTTCAGCAAAGGTAGGAAAATGTAAAGCGTCTCACTTTTACATTACTTATTTCTAACTTCAACGATTTAAAATTTACACTTTATTCGCTTACTTGCAGATGTTCGGTGAAGTCAGTCAACCTGGTCACAGCAATTACGCATCCCCGAAGTAATTACGAAAAACAATTGTGTAAAGACATTCGCTTATTATTTTTCATTAAATATATTTCACATCCTGCTTATCATACTTTTCTTATTCTATCTCAGTGAAACTAAATTTGTCATTATTACGAGATGGAGGCCTGACCTATCAATGAGACCTGAGAAAGTAATTGTAGGTATAATTCAACGTAAGTGAAATCGTACTAATATTGCTACAGCTCGACCTATTAAATTACCCGTCTCGTGTAGACTTCATTTTACACTATATGTTAACACCCGTAGGCATATGGATTGACATCACGCTTTAAGTGAAATAATAGTAATACACTACTTGTGATTATACTTAACTTCATACGAAATCGAACTAGAGTGCAGGACCTAAGTTCTATTCTTATTTTTCAAACACTGAAATTAGGTATGTTTGTCATTAGTCCCTACTGATTTACCTATGACTAGGAGACGTAATCGCGTAACTTTAGGCAGATTTTTAGACTTTAATGAAGTACTTATAATTCACCACTTTTATCGATGGATAGTGTTCCTACAGAATTGCACTTACGTATAGTAACGAATTCATACCCTAGGGAGCACCGGTCTAGCATCCCGTACTCCCAACGCGAACACACGAACAGAAAGACAACAATATTAATAGGACAAGTTTATTTTTATTGTAATACGAAAGTAGTTAATTTACACATTAAGAAAATGGTCCATTTGTGCCATTACTTCTCCCGCGTAATCTGCGGCAACCACATAGTGAGTGCAGAACAACTGCATTGTTAGCATTAAATGACTTCCTCACTTTTTGTATTTCTCATAATGAATTCTCAAATTCCTCCCAGCTAAAGAAACGCCTTCGCATCATTACTTCACCGAAAATTCCACTGACGTGTGCATTGCCTACCTGCAATAAACTAAAATGGCTTTGTCAATAAGTATCCATCTGTCTCTCAACTGTTTAAATATAATTCCGTAGAAAAAGCAATATGGTAATACATCACTTAGCAATATCCATCAATAAAATGCTACACGTATAACCTAAAATTGAGAAAAGCCCAAGAACTCACGGGTTCCTTGACATCGCCAGCAACCGATAGGCCAACAAACCGAGTATATGATAAACCAAGCCTTGTATATGCAAAAAGAAGTAAAATAAAACGTTAGAATAATCAAATTTTACATTTATTTCCATCAAATATGCTTGCAAACAACGCATACCTCAACCACACAAACCTGCACACGATGTCACCTACCTAGGACAAATTAAATATAAAATTAGCCGCCACTGTTCCAGCCCATGAAAGACGAGAAAACCTGAGGCGCGGAAGATTTAACACGCTCTAACGGATATCATCAGCCGCTTTTTGTCTAACCACTATCCAAACAACCTTTCTGACATGGTAGGACCTTACCGGTAGATTAAGCTATGGCATTGTCTGTGGACGCCATTAAGCGAAGGCTGGAAAATCATGCAGCGACACAAGGACTGCGTCCAAATGACCTATCCCCTTAAAATCCCATGCACCATTCAGGGGTAGACAACTAAGTTCGTGGTTTTACTTCAATACATTCTCTCCCGTCTTACTGTCCTGACAACTTCACCTGCTACACCTATTATTATTACAGATATATATCAACTTCAAATTTAATCAGCTGACTGTTGTTACATTTTCTTTATTTCTTTTTCTGTCTGTTAGTTAGAATAACTTCACTTAATATATCTATCATTATTATTATTATCTCTTTTCTTTTGACGACGATACCGGAGGACTAACTGATGAAAGGATCAACTCTATTCACAGTAGTAACAGTCTTAACACACCCCATACTACAAACAACATATAATTAATCCCAGCACTACTCCTTTTGGAGTTAACCAAAGCTACGACAATCGAGTGGAGGGACGGGCTAAGCAGAAGTTTACAGAATATCAGGAAACTATACCTCACAATCAAGAGGCAAGCACAAAGAAATCAAACTGGTTTATACTAGCTCGTAAAAACGAGATTGGATATTGGAACACTGTTTGTTTTTGCTAATTTCACCCCGCAACCTTGAACAAAGGCGGCTTATGCAGTAATAGCCCGAAAATGGGTATGTCTATTAGACAATGTGTCCTGGTGTTTGGCATGCTTTTTACTGGGACTATCAACACGGTATCCAGAAAAGTTCAGCTTGACTGCATGTTAGTCCCTCCACATTCAAAAGTAATAGTCTAGACAGTGCTGTAGGATACTTCAATCATTCTGCCAATGATACGCGTACTCCGCATAACTTCAATAAACCATGGTTTCAGACGTTACTGATGTTTTTCGGGGAGTCACTATGTATAATGGCTTTTATGATAATGAGATGCAGGAAAAGGAGGCAAATGTCTGCACATGGTTATAGTGTTATTGGCGTTCACCCTAGAGGTCAAAGCCTAGTAAGCACACCGTGAGTTAATTAATTAAATTTCATCATTGTACAGTATTTTTAACTGGATTTTTATATTGCCGACGCTCTGTGATTTGTTAGGCTCAACGCTATCAGGTACGTGAACCCTCTTATTCGTTCTATTTCTAGGTATCGGTCTTCTGTACATTGATGCATCTATTTGGCAAATGTTACGGGGGTCGCTTATTGTATTTGCTGGAATTCTGTCAGTAGGTGTTCTTTTCCACCTTTTCTAAAATTCCAATATGTTTATCTTCAAATTGTTCACACAGTTATTCACAATTGTTCAATAGTTAGCTAACTGACATCATTCATATCCATCCAATGTTCATACGAAACTAGTGTTAAATACGTAGAATCCTGTTGATATGGCCTCATGCTTTTATTTCTGTTGAGATCTTGATTTAAATTTCAACTAAAATTTTGCTGATGTATAAAGGTTTGGACAGATTAAATCCTATTGAAAGAACGAATCTAAAGATTCAAGTCTAAGTTCTCTTCTATAGGCTGAATTCTTTGTGATAATAAACCTTCTTAAGTGATAGTGAAGTCTGCGGTGTTCAGAAACTAACTGGCTTGCAAAAACAAGCTATATCATATTTTAAATATATTTGTCTATTTTGTGAGATTGCCAGAAAGTACACCCTGTTTACATTTGTACTAAACTGCTTTCATTAATTCAACTGTAGCTGCCTTCAGGCGTCTGGTTCAGCTTATTACCTAGTCTTTTTATTAAATGTAAAGATTAAGAATTAATTATTGCAGTCAGATAAGAAGTAGAAACATCCATTCTCGGTCATGGTTCCCATCAAATTACAAAGTGGTGTAAACTAATAATGTCTAAACTTTATTAAGTTTGTGTTAACCAGCTCCTAGCAAAGATACGGTCCACTTTTTACAGTTAATCAGATTTTAATCTTAGAAATCGATATGCTAAGTAGAAAAAGCCAAACAGTATCAAGAAATTACTGGTTGTCTATTGGTTTTCCTTATTATCGATTAATTTTTATATATTTTACTTCAACAATGCATATTTGTATTGAATTTTCTCAGTTTCATCCGTAGCTTTTTGAAGCAGATGACCATTGGTTGTCTACTAACCACGCATTGGACGATATCATTTTAGGCACATAAACTAACTACTAGCCAATTAAAGTATTCTGCACATCAAATGCAGACACTGTCTGATGGCGTGTATGTGTCTGCAAGTTTGTGATTTTTACTGTTCCTCTATACCTAATTATATCGGAAGTCTAGAAAACTAGGAACTAACTTGGTTATCAGGAAGATAACACGGTTTCGCTTTTATTCTTCATTTTACCATATCTTTTAGTTAGGTGAATAGAGTGAACTGGTTTGGCTTCTTTGGTCCATGTTTCTCTTTTGTTAGCTTAAGGAGCTACAGACGGAAATCTCGTAGTAGAAACTATTGTTTAGCACATATCATCCAGAATAAAAACAGTCGATTTATCTTTTCATAAACTTTACCATTAAAAGCCACTAAAGGAACTTGAGATATCTTTAAAATAATTCTGATTAGGTCTTATCCATGTTATAGAGTAATGCTGAATACATTTGGCCATGTTAAATGGTGATTCTAGATTTATCCTTGGATCCAAATAAAAATGTCACCTACAGGATAAGAAGAAATCACACTTTGACTTTCTTTAGAACGAGTTGGATAATGATTCCAATTTTGGTGCATTTAAACTTCAAGGATTACGCATACCTCCGTATTGATTGTCATGCAGGATGGTTGGCGAGCGAATTGTATGTTGATTTAAGGTAGCCAGTAGCGTACAGGTTGGAAAGAAACGCGTCACTATACTGCATCCTCTTTGTTGCACAATGGCATGCCTTCAGGAATAATAATGACATACTTTGTAGTGCTCGAGAAATCTATGCATACACAGGTAGCAATGTTATCAAGTGTCAGTTTTTAAGAGACGACTGGTTTCACGTTCGCTCAGAGGGAGGGTATTAGTTGGACAACCATCGAAGACCAGGAAGTGTTGAACCGCTGTCTTGTCCCATCTTCAAACTCACCCATAACTCTAGGGACTGGTTAGTTGTCCAGTACTCCTTGGTTTTAAATGATCTTCTAACTGATGTCAGCTTGAGACCTAACTTGTGAATAATGTTATCATTGCGTCGGTGGCACAGTGGTTAGGACTCTCGGCGACCATGCACATGGTCCGGGGTTCGACCCCCTGCCGGCGCACATCCGATATCTATGGTCGGCCTGCAAAATTTGGGCTAACGATATCCATGCTGAAAATTCCATACCTGTACCTAAAAATACGCTGTGGCATCAAGCTGTAATCAAAATTTAAAAAATTGAGTTATTTGACTCTAATATGTAATTATACGAAGAGAGGAGTTTAGTTTAGTACAAGTGGAGATTATGGCTCAATGATTTAAGCACTCAATTTTCAGCCAATGTATCGTAGGTTCGAATCCCCTTCTGCGTACTTTAAGTAATTGTGTAGTATCAGCCCTCATACAGTAAGTGTGGCTGATAGTCTGATACATGAGTAGTCTGACTGAATGGTTTCATCGTAGGACTTTTTAAAGATTTACACTAGTCCCAGTTGCTAATCCCCACCTAACACACAAAGCAAGAGAAGAGAGTAAAGAGGGATTCAAAAGAGAGATAATAAAAAGAAATACGAGTGAGAGAAAAAGAACAGTAATATGGTGGGAGAACAACAGAGTTTTATTGGACATGATAAATCATCACTAGGAGTGAATACATCTTCGCCATTGAGAGCTGTTTTGAATCATATCACCAATTGTCTCCAACAATTGGCTTCTATCGTCCCGAGGACCTCAACCAGGCTGCTGCTGCTGGATTCAACATAGAACTTGGCACCGAAGTGCAGCAGTTCGAGTTGCCACGTTCCAAATAGCACACAAACGTAGACAGGAAAATGAGAGAAGAGAATCAATAGAATTTAGATAAGTATAAGAGTGAAACAATGAGTAATGGTAGAAAGGAACATGAAAGATTACAGAGACTGAATACATCTGCGCCACTGACAACGATTTTGAGTCATGTCACCTAGTGTCTCCAGCCATTGATTCTTAGAGTCCCGAGGGCCCCAACCCGGAAGTCTGCATCTCCCTACCTGACTCAGTTTAACTGTTAAGGATTTCATTGATTGATGCCATGTTTTTGTTTGGCCACCACTTACTCTTTTCCAACCTGCACCTATATCAGCTAGTAATGCCCGTCGGGGGAGACGATGGCTAGGCATTCGCAGCACGTGACCTAGCCATCTCAAACTATGTAACTGTATAGCCTCTTCGATTGATTTTCCCTCCTTGCCCAACACTCTACGCCTAACGTCAACATTACTTACCTTATTATACCACCTAAGGCGAGAAAGAGATCGTAAACATCTGTGGTCAAAAACAGACAATCTCTTCATGTCTTCCGCTCTCAATGGCCACGTCTCACCGCCATAGAGAAGGACGGAGCGAACTGATGAGCAGTATACACGTCCCTTGGTTGATAGCCGAATGTCACGCCTACGCCAGAGACGGCGTAAGTTAGCGAAAGCAGCCAGAGCTTTCTGGATCCGTGCTGTGATTTCGTCACCAATCAATCCGTTGGTGCTGATACAACTTCCCAAATAGGTGAAGTGGTCAACATGTTCTATCACTTCACTCCCTATCACTAAGCTAGGAGTTGACGTAGTCCAGTCCTGTAGCAGCATCTTACAGTTTACATGGGCGAATCGCATGCCAAACATACGAAGATTGCTGCTTAAGGTGTTCAGAAGACTCTGCATTTTGTCAGCGTCCTCCCCTAACAGGACTATGTCGTCTGCGTATTCTAAGTCTATAAGACTATTCCCTGGTAACAAATCGATTCCTAAGTCGTTAAGTTCAGTTAAGGATACTTCCATTAGCATATCTATGATGAAGTTAAACAGAAAAGGGGAAAGTGGACATCTTTGATGGACACCACTGGTTGTTATCAATTCAGATGACAATTCCCCATAAGCCCTTACACAGCTACGTGAGTTTGAGTGGAGTGCCTTGATTAGTGCAATGTACTTTCTTGGCACTCCCTTCATAGTCAAACATTGCCATAGAACCTCTCGATCCACGGAGTCGAAGGCCGCCTTCAAGTCAAGAAAAATGGCAATTGTTGGACGCCTAAAAGTGTGCCTATGTTCTAGGATCTGTCGGAAAGTGAAGATATGATCTATGCACTCTCTACCTGGCCTAAAGCCCGCTTGATTTTCCCTCGTTTGTTCCTCCCGAGTTCGGCTTAGTCTGTTCATGATTACTGAGCCAGTCTACACCTCCCTACGTGCCTGGCTGGCTGGTTTAAGCTAACTTTTGTGGATTTCACTGACTGATGAAACCATGTTTTCGTTTGACCACCACTGACCCTTTTCCAACCGAAGCGGACCTATGTCAGTCAGCTAACATTGACTGTCGGTCGACGAAGGCGATGGCTAGGCATGCATGCGTAACACATGTCCTAACCGTCTCCATCAGTTCAACTCCACAGTCTCGTCGATTGATTTCCCCTCCCTCCTTACCTTACACTCGACCGAGGCCTTACTAATTCAATATCGCTCATCCTATTATGCTTACCACTTAACGCGGGAGATAGAAGACAGACACCTATGGTGAAAAACAGCTGACCAGCCAGGCTTTTCATGTCTTCTGTTCTCAATGACCTTGTCTCGTTTCACAGCCATAAAGGTGAACGGAGCGAACTACCGCTAGTTAGTACACACGTCCATTGATCGATAGCCAGCCGGATATCACGTCTACTAAGTCAGAGATGGCGTAAGCTGGCAGGTAAGTGCCAAACGAGCCTTCTGTATCTGTGCTAAGATTTTGTCAGTGATCAGCCCACTGGTGCTGGTTGATGGAACTTCCCAGATAAGTGAAGTGATCAACACGCTCTACCAATTCAATCTTGCCTATCTGTAAGCTAGGAGTAAGTCGATGCAGTCCAGTGCTGTAGCATTATCTTATATTTGATAGAATCAAATCGTGTGTCAAACATTCGAAGACTGCTGCTCCACAAAGTGTTTAGAAGACTCAACTGCAATTTTTTCAGCATCTTTACCTCGGAAGGAGGATCACATCATCCGTATACTCCTAGCCAGCGAAATTATTCCCTGGTAATAAGGCAATCCCTGATTCGCTGAAGTCAGTTAGGGTGAAGTACATTAGTTCATCAACGATGGAATTAAACAGAAATAGGGATTGTGGGCATCCCTGACTAACACTACTTTTTGTCACCACTTCAGATGACAACTCGCCGTAAGCTCTCACCTGGCTGACTTCATGAGTTCGAGTAGAGTAACTTGATCGGTGCAGTGTATTTTCTCGGCATTCCCTTTTGCAGCCAAACATCGCCACAGCACCTTTCGGTTGACGGAACTGAGTGTTGCTTTCAGGTCGAGAAATATGGCGATTGTTGGACGCCGACGGTAAGTATGCCTATGTTCCAGAATCTGTCGAAGAGTGAAGATATGATCAACACACCCTCTTCCTGATCTAAAGTCTGCCTGGTTCTCTTATCTTTGTTTCTGCCGTGGACTGCTTAGTCTACGTATGATTATTGTGCGTAGAACTTTAAATACCACATTGGTCAAACTAATCCCCCCTGTGATTATCACAGGAAAACTTGTTTTCCTTCTTGTATATCGGGATAACCGATGACTTACATCAGCCCAGTGAGATTATCTCTGCTTCTCAGACGCTGTCTAATACCTTCGTTAACACATACAGTAAACTATTTCTATGGTTCTTAAACACATGAGCAGTAGTAGTCTGTTGCAGGTAACTTACTTCCCAAAATGTGTGATTGCTTAAAGGTTCTTATGTTTTCCCTCTTTCTTGCAGACTATATTTCTAAAGCGACGTTTACGTTACTTTCACTGGATTGGTATTATGATCACTGTGATTGGATTAGCTCTTGTCGGTTCAAAGTCGGTATTCAGTGTACATTCGGTCAAGTCAAGTGTAACCCAATCAGCTATAGGTTAGCTAATTTTTAAAATTTTTGGTCTTCATTTCAATACTAAAGTTACTTTATGCCATAACTGTTATGCTGCAATATAAATTGAATCAAAAATTATGTCATTTATTGTGGGTATAATGTTTTGATGATCAAGGCTTGTTGGTTCGAGTCCTGACACGCATCAAACTTCATTTCATTGGGAAGAATACTGTGTCAAACCAAGGATATTTCTCATAGTCTCTCTGTTATTTAACCTGCCTCCAAAGCCTCAGGATGGTCGGGAGTGGGTGCCTTGCGCTGCGGGTTGGCCACCCCTCCGCACACTTCTTGAAATGCTCCCATATGACCGGGCGTCTTACATAGCCTCTCCTGAGAAAGTCCTACTCACTGCCTTCACGTGGCGGAGGTGTTTTTCACCAAAGTGAGAAGGCGAAAGCGGATGCCCGGCGCTCTTCACCGGGTTGACTGTCCATTGGATGACAGTCTAGGGGAGATGGCTAAACCCTGATTCCAAACCTCCAACGACTGGCGTATGAAGCTCACTGGAGCTCACCGGCAGACGTATGGACAAAGGGCTTGTTGGATGTCCTGGATGTCTGGCCCCATTCAAAAAGGCGTATGAACCGAACTCCGGTCACCGGCTGCCAATGGATAGTGGACTCCCTACTCCACTCCTACTGCCTTGTAGGTCACACTTGGTTGTGTAAAGGCTAGAGCTGCACTCTCAAACAAAAAGCCCGAGCGATTCTGGGGACATTACTCGTACCAAATTCCCATGAAACTTCATGAACTCTCTTACAAACGACTCTCACCATGCTACGGCGTTCTCGGTAAGCGACGCGCCCTGTGCTACAACATCAACCAAATTCTAGTACTGTTCCAACAACGTCGCCTTCGGTGATTTGGCCATGTTCTGCGCCGACCAGATGACGATCTGGTCAAATCACCACTACCATCTTGGCGATGTCGCAGGGGTGGACAGCTGGAAACATGGCTTGGTACAGTCAAGGCTGATATGGAGTGCCTGAGGCTACCAACCCTCTACGGACTCCGTCTGTGGAACAAGAATTGGATAACCCTGTCACAAAACTTTGCATCAGATCGCCGCGCCTGGGCAGCCATGATTCGAGATGTTCATGAAGCCGGCTCATCCTCCCGTAGGAGATAGCCGAAGTAAAGTAAGTAAGTTTGTAGATCAGGATTAGCATGAAAAGATCTATCTGGGCTGGTAGTGTAGTGACACATATATTTTTGAGAAAAGAACAAGAAGTTCAGCAAAGATGTCTTCTCGACGACTTCATTCTCAAAAGCCGTACAATTGCATTCACATTTATGTTACCATCGTTGCAATTATTATTTAATTCCACATAATTAACGAAAGAGATAAAAGTTGATAGTTATTATTATTTTTTGTGTGACTTGAAATGAAGCTTTGGAAGTGTGATTAAAGTTTACAAGGGGCTTGGAAACAAAATTACGCAGGATTAGAAAATAGTTGCGTTATGTGTAAAATAGGTTTTCAACGAATACAGGTGTGAATGGGATAAGCTGGGGAACAAATCGAAATAATAGTTTTTACAGCTGAAAATGAAAGAAAGTGGTGAGAATGAGAAAAAAGTAAAAACGAAAACTAAGGAGTCGAATCGAAATAGACTTATGGTAAATGTATAGGTTGGACCAGTTTCCTTTCAACACAGCTATGGCTTTTCGATGCATATGACGAGGCCTTCTGCTGTAGAAGGAAATTGGAAACACACTGCCTTCTACCTGCGACCTGCCTGTTCTGCCTTAGTTGCAAGCCAATGTGTTGTAGAATTGTCGTGTGTCTTTCCTAGCACTTGTCCACTTCTTTATTCAGTGCAGTGTACATTGAATCTAGCTTCTTCTTCTGTCGTCCATCATCTTCCGGTTTAGTGATATCACATAGTACCTCCAACTTTGCTTTGATCAGATCTGTAGTGAAGGTATCCCCTGTAGTTTTGCTCTTCAGTTTCTGAGTGTTAAATTTGAATTATGGTCTGTCTCCAGTTGTTCTGAAGGATTTCAGCTTCACCTCGAAGGCTCCTTGAACTAGATGATAGCTTCAAGTTAGTGTCTTCCTCAAAATAATGATTCCTTCTTCTAATGATTGATTCACGGCTTCAGATTCTCGGGGTGCTAGTGACGAGATAGCATGTTCCGCTTGCGACTGATGAATACCCAACAGTCAACGTTTGTCAACTGGCCGTTCTACCTAGGCTTTCTATATACCTTACATCATTTCGTCTATAAACCGTCTTCTAATATATATATATATATATATAAACAGTTACTCGTTCTTTGAACAATAGCTCGTTTCGTTGATTTTTTTAAACAATGTCCTTTAAGATTTAATTAATGTGACGCTTCTCCCCCTCTTTGTTTTGGTTGTTGTTTTATGTCTTCACCTGAAAAAGGACTTGTTCTCGTGTTGGCTGGTACATTCACATCAGCAGCACAAATGATTGTAGAAGAAGTCTTCTTAAAGAGTCGTGGTTTTCACCCGCTACAGGCTGTTGGTATGGAGGGTATTTTCGGTTGTATTTTAATGTGTGCAGTAAGTTACCGCTTAAATATTTCTTTTAATAACTGTATTTTATCATCCGTTTCATACTAATTAAATTGTTGATTGTTATTGATTATATATATATATATATATATATATATATATATATATATATATTATTTTAATATATTTATGCGTTGAAGTTTCTGTAGCAATTTGGTTAAGTTTTGGGGGTGGAGTTGCTAGCACCACACCCAGACCCTCCCTCCTTATCCGGGCTTGGGACCGGCTAGAAAACTAGCGAGCTGGATTCAGGAAAGGCAAATCATCGAACAAAGCATGGAATGGTAATCAAACCTCTACCTCAACTTTATAGACTTTGAGAAGGCTCCCGACAGCGTTGACCACGAAGTAATTTGGAAACTATTCGATTACTACGGCGTACCCCAAATATTCATCAACCTTATTCAACAGCTGTACGACAACGGCACATGTCAAGTGATCCACAACGGAAAACTCAGCGAAGCGTTTGGAGTAAACACAGGAGTCAGATAAGGGTGCTTACTATCACCAATGATATTCCTAATTGTGGTGGACTGCATTATGCGCCAGACAGTGGGAAACGAGAAGACAGGGATATCCTGGACCGACGTGAAGAACCTAGAAGACCTGGATATCGCGCGTGGATGATTTATGTTTGATGTCACACAAAATCGAAGACTTACAAGTGAAAACCGACAAACTGGTCGAAGAAGCAGCAAAGACAGGACTCCAGGTGAACATAGACAAGACGGAGGTTATGAAAATAACCAACCAACCAACAACAGCAGCAGCAGCAACATCCAGTGCCAATCACCATCAACGGGAGGGATTTGAAAGAGGTTACTTCATTCACTCACTTATCTACGGAGCATTGTCTCAACTACAGGCACATGGAACGAAGGAGGATGTCAAATCGAGAATCGGAAAGGCGAGAAACACATTCATCAACCTGAAACCAATCTGGAAATCTTCGTCATCAGCATCAACAACAAAATTCGGATTTTGAATACAAACGTCAAGTCAGTTTTGCTATACGGATCAGAAACTTGGCGGGTCACCAAGAATATTTCCAACAGGTTGCAGACTTTTATCAACAACTGTCTTCGCTCTATACTGAAGATCAGATGGTCGGAAAGAATCACCAACAAGAAACTATTGGAACAAACAAAACAAGGACGTCCAAGGATGACATCGAGGAGATTGTGTGAAGAGGAGTTGAAACAGTATGGATTAACATGGACGCAGGTGAAAAGTACAGCAGAAGACAGAAGCAAGTGGAGACGTGCAGTTGAAGCCCTATGTCCCACTAGGAACCCAAGGGAACAATTATATATACATATATATGTATATATATATATACATATATATACCAGTTTTCGTTAAAGGGGTGTTATTTATTTCAAGTTTGATGATGAATTGACTTCGAGTAGAGTAAACCATAATAAACAAGGGAGTACTGGATAGTTCTGTCGTCCTTGTCTGGGAATTATCAGCACTCTTCACCCATAACTTTATCTGGGATCGAACTCAGGACTTTCAGGTTTTAAAGTGAGCTCTGACAAAATGCTGCGTCATCTAAACACCTTGAGCAGCAGCAGTCTTCGAATGCTTGGCATGCGATTCTCTCCGGTCAAATGTGGGATGATGCTACAGGACTGGACTACATCGACTTGCTCCCAGCTTAAACGTAGGCAGGAGTGAATTGGTAGAGCGCGTTGATCACTTCACTTATCTGGGAAGTTCCATCAACCAGCACCAGTGGGTTGATCACTGACAAAATCTTAGCACAGATACAGAAGGCTCGTTTGGCACTTAACTGCCAGCTTACGCCATCTGACTTAGTAGACGTGATATCCGGCTGGCTATCGATCAATGGACATGTGTACTGACTTCGCTCCGTCCACCTTTATGGCTGTGAAACAAGACAAGGTCATTGAAAATGGAAGGCATGAAAAGCCTGACTGGCCAGCTGTCTTTCATCCCCCGTGGTAAGTGTTAAGCGTGATAGGATGAGCGATATTGAATTAGTAAGGCTTCGGTCGAGTGTAAGGTATGGAGGGAGGGGAAATCAGTCGACGATGTTGTGGAGTTGAACTGATGGAGACGGTTAGGACATGTGTTACGCATGTATGCCTAGCCATCGCCTTCGTCGATCGATAATGTTAGCTGACTGATATAGGGCCGCTCTGATTGGAAAAGAGCTAGTGGTGGTCAAGTGAAAACATGGCTTCAGTCAGTAAAGTCCACAACAATAAGTTTGAGCCAGCCAGTCGGGCACGTAGGGAGGTGTAGACTGGCCTCCTGGTTGGGGTCTTCGGGATGATAATAACCAATGGTGGCTGGTCACAATTAGTGATATGGCTCAGAATCTCTCAATGGCGCAGGTGTGTTCACTCCTAGTGATGATTTATCATGTCCAGTAAAACTCTATTGGTCTCCCACCATAATTCAATTCTTTTTCCATCACTCACACTTCTGTTTATCATCTAACCTGTCTTTCGAATCTGTTTTTACCCTGTTGTCTTGGTGTGTGTGTTTTGTGGAGGGAGAGTGACAAGTCGAACTGGTGAACATCTGTGCAAAGTCCTATGTTGAAACCAGCCAGTCAGTTACCTCATTTTGTCAGTCTATACCTCCTTATCTAATTTAAATGAGTGGTGTGAGCAGCCTTCAGACTTCAGTGTGACTTATTGCCTAATACATGAAGAATTTGTCTGTCGGTACACCAAGTTCTCACTATCTAACTAACTTACCAACAATGTTGCTAACTCACATTATCTGATTCGATTGTTTAATGAAAGACAAAGGATCTCCTTCTTTCCATCTATCGCATAAACTGTTTTTTTCATTGTCCTATTTTTATATATACCTATATAGATTGTTCTGCCAGCTGTTCATTATATTCCGGGGAATGATTTAAACGGGTCCTATGAAAATGTTATTGATGCAGTCTATCAAATTGGTAGTAATTATGTCCTATTAGGCAATTGTATATTATATGTCTTATCAATTGCATTCTTCAATTACTGTGGTCTATCGATCACACGAAGTCTTAGTTGTGAGTTATTATTGTGTTTTTCGTTTACTCTAGATAACTATTGTTTACATAACTTGCTACGATTGCTATAATTGTTTATTTATTGGCTAGATGTTGAGTTGTACACCTCGGACGACGGTAATGTCCACCAGAGATACCTAATTTCGTCAACTTTTCTGTTTTAATGTTTCATTGTAGGTGTGAGTACTCAGGTAGGTGGGTGACTGTTTATAATATGAAAATCCCCATTGATTTATATAAAGGAAAAGTGTTCAGTGAAGAGTTACCTCCTTTTCCAGCCATATCATTCCCAAACTGTACAATCATATATATATATATAACTTCGACCGGAACAGGCTGGATTCAGGAGGAACAAATCATGCATTGAACAAATCGCAACACTACGGATCATCATTGAACAGAGTTTGGAATGGCAGTCAGCTCTCTATCTCACTCAACTTCATCGACTTTGAAAAGACCTGCGACAGCGTCGATGGAGAGGTGATTTGGAAACTACTTCCCTACTACCAAGGGGTGCCACCGACAATTATACATCTCATCCAACAGCTGTACGACAATGCTGCATGCCAAGAAATCCACAATGGGAAACTCACGGAATCCTTCGAAGAAGTGAAGACGGGAGTAAGACAAGCTGGTTGACTGGCTGCCTACTATCGCCAGTGATTTTCGTGATTGCGGTAGACTGGATAATGCGACAGACAGCGGGCAACGAGGAGACGAGCATAAAATGGACCCACACAAAGAACTTGAGTGAGCTGTTAAGCTGGTTGAACTATATGTTATTTATTTTACCTAAAATCTGGCACAATATAGGCACCGAGAAGATGCTCCCTACAATAGTAATAAAACACGATATGAGAAAAAAATACGTGGAGAGTAAGTAAACGAGTTCATCTGCGTAGGAAGCAGTTATATTTAATAAGACAAAACACCATTCGTCGAATTATTGTGAGAAATGGAAAAAAGATGAAAAATGTATCGTGTTCGCCATTGATTGCGATTTTCGGCCATATCCGATAACGTTTCGAGCCACCGGTTCGAACTTCCTCTCAGACTCCAAACTGGGAGTGGTGATGTACCAACCAATGCTAATTTACCACAAGTGTCCCTCATCCCACGACGCCACGTCATTGACTGACCACCCGTCCACCTTTTCCATCTCGTCTCAGTGTTAGCGAACAGAAACCAGTACAGAGGCTTCCTGGATGACATTTGTAGTACATGTCCAAGCCATCGATGCCGGTGTTTCCAGGTTACGACAGCACTCAATGAATGGTAATCTTCACTGTGTGCAAACACATGCTGCCTGACCTCAGAATTACTCACACGATGATGCTATCGAATACGGACAATTCTATGGAGACAGCGATGAGTAAACATATAGAGTTGCCTCATATCCTTGGCTTGGAGAGGCCAGGTTTCGCGGGCGTAGAGCAAGACTGAGTGCTCTGAAGAACTGTGAACCCGATCTTCGACAGCCAGGCTAATGGCACCAGAGGGGGCTTGAGATGACGTATGTCAGCCTAGCTTTCATGATAAGGGTGGAAATCTCGTCCGTCACACCACTAGCATCCACACAACTACCCAGATACATGAACTTATAGAAAACTTCAAGCGGTTATCCTACAAAGGTGAGTGCAGGTACAGGCTACTGCCAATCTTGTAACAGTACGCTGCATATACCATGCTTACAGACACTAGTGTCTAATCAAAGTGTTCAATACAGATTCCCACAGGTGGTCGATCTCTGACTGCAGCACTGGGTGACACGGGTTCAAATCCTAAAAGGGACATGAGTTCCTTTAAGATTGCTTATAGGCCTTGCCGACTGGTGAGTGCTAACAAGCCTGAAACCTAGGTCAAAAGCTTCCTGTCTCCAGTCATCTAATAACCTGCCAATGTATTCGTGGTTGTCGACTGGGTGGATTGGAGTAGATTATCGGCTTTCCAGTTGACTAATTGGAGAGTCTACTTCAATTCCATCTTCTCTCACAGATTCTTAGTTCTTCTAAACTATACCGTCTCATTTCTTTTACAACCTGAGCTGCCTTTCAGATTCAAACATTGTGCTGACATTCTGTATTCCCATGTTTATTTTTACTTTCACTGGAAGACGTCACGTCAGCTTCTCGAAAGATTTCTCCAGCCGTTATCATTCGTCCCCAAATTGACCAGTCTTCCCAAAGTTCGATAAATGATGATTCTATTTTCTCAGTGCTTTAAAGTTTCTGTGGTGAGATAGGATTAATTTCTTGGGATAAGCGTCGCATCCCTCTAAACCCCACGTCCAACCTACCATCTTTTTCTTCTAGACTTAGAACTGGCTAGTAAGTTAGGTGGGGTTTGAACTTGTGGGTATTAGATGGTTGGAGACAATCGGCCACAGGAAGCCTTGAACCTAGGTTTTGTGCTAGTTGGCACTCACTAGTTAGCAAGGCGTATTTTCAAACTTGAAGGAACTCATGTCCCTTCTGAGATTCGAACCCGTGTCACTCAGTGAGAACTGCAGTGAGAGACGTTACCACTGAGGTATTCAGGCTCGCGATTGACCTCCTGTAGGATTGTATTGGATATTTTTGATTGGACACTAGTCAGTAACTAGTGTAATGTGTCCAAACCTATCTTCGGTGCAGACTGAATTCTCTCAGTCCAGCTTGCAATGTGGCCACCATGTCACTAAGTGGCTCGCCATCATGGTGCGCTGTGAATTGTTGGTATTACATGGTTGGAGGCAATCGGTTTTAACTTACTATATACACAGATTAGTAGCAATGACCAAATCAATAATCTCTTGAGCACATAATATGAGTATGTAAGTTGAGTAAATAAAACATTAAAAAATATATATATAAACAATATGTTTACCTAAAAAAAGCAATTCACACTGTTTAAGCACTACAATTGGTTTTTGCTGTAGATACTTAAAGTCGAGCAAAATTTCAGATGTTAAGAATTGTTTAAAAAAACAAAACAGAGCCAGTTACAGCGAAGAAAATTTTCTTTCCTCTGAAGTCATCAAATAATCGGCAGCTATACAAGAGTGTATTCATGGTGAGTAGTAGTCACCTACTACAAGTTAAAAAAACACACAACTATTTCCGCTAGAGGATCAAATTAACCAAAAAATGAGACAAATAGGGATTAAAATCTTAAAACTAACAGAAATTGGATAGGAAAGGTGGTAATAGGAGAATCATTATTTAATAGGACTGACGTTTTTTGTGATGTCTATAGTTAAGGACAGCGGTTGGATGCATTTCCTTTGATGCCTGTTGTCCGATTTGCCAGAGGGTCGTCCTGACGTTAAATGCGCCTATATGAAGTTGGCAACATGTCTTTAAGAGGTTATCGAAAGTGTTTCTATGGCTCTCATCGTTGTTCTCGGTCACAGAATGACGTGAAGATGAATCACTAGTACCGACTGTAGTAGGGGAGTAAGATGATGAAGGTAATGTGGGTAGAGAAGAATGATATTCAGGAAGGCTTCGTGTGCTCTTGGAAGTGTGTGGGAAGTTGTTACTTACCGGCTGCCCACATCGTTGAAGTTGCTTGATTCTTCGGGTATTTGAAACAGAAAGAAAGTTAGTGTTGCATGACCGCAGAGCCCAGCCGATAACTACTTGGTGGTGGCCAGTCGCACACGGCCTGTTTGAACTGGCTTGTTGGTTTGGTTCCGTATTAGTAAACTTACCGCCGGTTACGGACCACCGTAGGGTAAGTCGGGATGTACAATTTTCGGGGTCGATCTTTCCTAACCCCTTCTCTCCAGAATGGAGAGACAGCATAGGTGGCTGGCATGCTGGTCATCTGAAGGAAACACCTCACTACTGTAACATCCCTGTTCCCCAGCAGTACGATTTCGCCCACACACCCCCAGCATAGTGTAAAAAGGAAAAATTCGCACACTATGCTAGTAATTGCTTTTAGTTTGATCGCTATCCTAACAACCTTCCTGTCGTGGTAGGACCTGCAGGAACTATTGTTCCAACCAGTGTAGCTTCTTGGGTCATTGCGATGTGCAAGCGCGACCACCACGTCAAGGTAGCAGCTTTCGGTCGGGAATTTCCTTTGGATACATAGCGCGCTTGTTAAACGCGCTCTAGAGCACTATCCAACCTGTCTAGCAAAAAAGGAAAATGCAAATGTGTCATATAGTTCAGTAACAGAGTATCTCGTAAACTCAGGAAATTCAATCCCATTCAAAGATTCCTTGAAAGTCTTATACAAGATCAGAGCAATCCTCTCAAAAGGAGTGAAATCAAGACATCTAGCTGGGCATAGTTGAGGTATTAGTGATCGAAGACTTCAAGCCGGTGCTATGTATTCAAAAGAAATTTATCCAACCGGTGTCACTATTACCATGGCCATCATTAATAGTTGTTCCTCTCAATAATGATTATCCTATTACACCTTTCTTATCCAATTTCCGTGCTTATTTCTGTTAGTTTTACGTATTTTTAATACCTATCTTTATTACTATTGTGGCGTGTGCTACTGTTAGGATTTATCAGTAGTATATGAAGAGATGTTTATCGGTGTAAAAAAACATCAAATAGCAGGGAGATACATTTGATGTCAGATAAAGCAAATGAGATGATACAGCATTGTGGAGATACAAGGGAGACGTGAAAGGAACACAAAGATGCACACACAATATGAAAGAAGGCCAGAAGTAGTACAACTCAAACGATTTGTGCAAATGGTAACTAATAAATTGAGTACAAATGTGGTGATTTCAACTCAGATTATAGGAACAAGAGACGCCCACTGACTGACTGGCTGGTTTCACCATAGAACTTTGTAAAGATGTGCACCAGTTCGACTTGTCACTCTCCCTCCGTGTACCACATAGAGCAAGACAATAGAGTAGAGACAGATTCAAAAGACGGGTTAGATTATAAACATAAATGTAAGTGAGGGAAAAAGAATAGTAATATGGTGGAATAACAATAGAGTTTCATTAGACATGATGTATCATCACAAAGAGTGAATACATCCGCGCCAGCCATTGAGAACGATGATTTTGAGCTAGCCATATCACCAACTGTCTCCGGCCACCATTGGATTTCACCATTCTGATAACGTCAACCAGCCAAGAAATCTACACCTCCCTACGCGGCTGGCTTAAACTAACTGTTGTGGATTTCATTGACTGATGAAGCCATATTTCGGTTTGACCATCACTGGCTCTTTCCCAACCTGAGAGGTCCTATGTCAGTCAGCTAACATAGGGTTTCAGCAACACGTCTTCATTTTGTCCTAATCGCTGTGGTTCTCTTCAGTTGGTCCCACGGTTGCCTTTATGTACTCTCTGATCTCCTCCTCTCACACAACCTCCTCCATGTCACCCTCAAAAGCCTCACTCATCATTTCCCATTCGAATTCCACTCAAGTGATGTCCTTGCGTTCGATCTCATCCTACATTTTTCTGAGCATCTGCCCAACCCATCTCCGTTTTCTTCGAAATATTTGTTGAGTAATAGGGTTCTCGGTTGGTTTGTTCCCAGGGTTTCTTATTGCTAGTTCCTTCTGTCCATTTGATCTTCAGTATGGAGACAGCCGGCGAAGGTGGCAGCTGTTGTTGTTTATTCCAAACTGATTTCAGACTGATGAAGGTGTATCTTGCCTCTTTCGATTCTGACTTTTCCAACATCGTCATCTCAAAAACGAGTAAAACGACCGTTGGATGTTTTTTAAACCACTTTGATTTGGCTAACAAGCACTACTGATTAATGCGAGTAGTATATAACTGCTTGTCTCATTCAGTCATCAGTTTATATATAATCTTATTTATATTATCAAATTATATTTGTTCTTGATTATTTTTTAATGTTGTCTATTTCAGCTGTTCATAGAACATTAATCGATTCTTTACGTACTGCATTTGTATGGATATGCAGTTTAATACTATATTATGCTGTTGGTCCACCGTACGGTGAACCATTCACAGTTGGTTGGGGTCTAATTGAAAGTTAGTTTGTCTTTTACTGCTTCCTTCCTTTTTCTCTCTTTTCTGTTCACTCACATCTTATGTGTACTTGGCATTGGTTTTTTTATGTAAGTGTGTAACTCATTAGCTCATATATTGAACGTATCACATATATATGATCCACTCGACTTACTTCTATCTGTATTAGTATGTTGTATTTCTAGCTCATTGTTCCATTGAGACGTAGAGGTAGCATGTATCAATTATAACTGAGTGGTAGTCACACTACTTTAAATCGGCTAAATGTGCACATACCCTATTATTACTAGCCTTGGATGAAGAACTTCAACCGGAACAGCCTGGATTCAGGAGGAACATGTCATGTATCGATCAAATCGAACACTACGGATCATCATTATTGAACAGAGCTTGGAATGGCAGTCAGCTCTCTATCTCATCTTCACTGACTTTGAAAAGACCTTCGGCAGCGTTGATTGAGATGTGATTTGGAAACTACTTCGCTACTACCAAGGGTTGCGACCAACAATTATACATGTCATCGAACAGTTGTACGACAATGCTGCATGCCAAGTAATCCACCACGGGAAATTCACGGAATCATTCGGAGAAGTGAACGCTGGAGTAAGACAAGCTGGCTGGCTGCCTACTGTGTCCGATGATTTTCGTGATTTCGGTACACTGGATAATCTGTCTGTCTGTCTGTCTGTTTTCGACATAGAACTTTGCACATATGTGCGGCAGTTCAAGTCGCCACAATCCATGTAGCACGCAAAGCAAGAGAAGGAAGTAGAAGAAATGCAAAATATAGACAGTAAACACTGGATAATGGGACAGACGGACAGCGGTGGGCAGCGAGGAGATAGGCATAAAATGGACTCACACAAAAATCTTGGAGGACCTGGACTTCGCCGATGATATTTGTCTGATTTCTCACAAATTGGAAGATATGTAAGTGAAAAGCAACAAGTTGGCAGAAGAAGCATCCAGAGAAGATAGGATTTCCTTTAGATGAATATAGCGAAAACAGAGGTGATGAAGATTCCTGGCCAACAGCAACAGCTACAGCACCAACAACAGACAACAGTCAGCCAGCATGAATGGGAGAAATATGAAAGAAGCAACCTCATTTACCTACCTACCTGGGAAGCATCGTTTCAACTACAGGCGGATGGAACTGACGAGGATATCAAAGCTGCGAAGATCATCGGGAAATCAAGTCAAGCTTTCATTACTCTCAAGTTTGCTCGGATAACAACAGCACTCCTCAGCATGAAAAATAAGATCCGGATTTTCAACTCCAATGTGAAGTCAGTGTTGCTCACTATACGGATCAGAGATTTGGTGCTACGTCACAAAGGTCAATTCAAACAAACTACACACCTTCATCAACAGCTGTCCTCTCTCAATACTTCGCTCAAGATCAGATGGCTGACCAGAAGAGATCAGCAATGGGGTAGCGATCTCTGGAAATGAGGCAAGCAACCCAGCAGGAACCGATTGTGCAAGAAATATGCAGTAAGAAATGGAGGTGAATTGGCCTTACTCTGAGAAAACAAACCATCAAGTGAGTGACATCACATACCAGGCCATCACTCGAATGGAACCCGAACGGGAAGCAACGATGTGGTCGTCAGTACGAGTACGACATGGAAGAGGTGATGTGAAGAGGAGATGAAAGCATATGGTCAGACGTGGAGCGAGGTGAAAACGTTGGCGGACAACCGAATGTTAGCAGAGAACCGAACGCAAATGGAGACGTGCGGCTGAAGCCCTATGTTCCTGTAGGAAATAAAGGAAACAATAATAATAATGTCAAGTCACCACCTTTCTTGTCGACCAATGTTATCTAGCATAGCATCAGTTTGGAAAAGAGTTAGAAGCGATTAAATTAAAACATGCAATCAATCCATAAGGATTTTCACTGCTAGTTTGAACCAACCATGCCTATACAGAGATGTAAACTGCCCGATTCGATTTTTCAAAACGCTATTAGGCAGTGGTTTGAAACTGTCGGTAATATAGTGGTTCTCAATGGTGCAGATGTATTCATCACTCTCAATAACTGAACAAACAAACTTCTTTTGTATGCAGAGTTCAGGTTTTAACATGTGCATTGCCATTGCTTCTGCCGTCGATTTGTTGAATGGTCATCAAGCTTGGCATCTGAAGCCAAAGGTCTCCGGTTCGATCCCTAGTGGGTCATGAGTGTTCACTGCTCTAGAGAGCTCTAGAGTGGGACGAAACATCTGTCAAGTACTCCTTGATTTTCAATGATCTCTTTAAATGATCTTGGTTTGTGACGAAATTTTCATTGGAATATATATGAGAATATTTCTATTTACTTATATTAATGTTTTGCCTTCTTTTTATATCTCCTGATTAGTTGATGGTTTTGCCTTACTCATTATTGGAACATTAGTGCATAATCGTGTCCTAGACATCACTTGTTGCTGTCCACATCGTCCAGAACCGGTGATATTAACACCAAGACAGTTGAGAGGTATGAGTGAGTCATCAGAACCCTATTCACTCGACTATACTGATACAATGGATTCAAGTGATGATATTGATGTAGACGATGTTGATGATGATGAGGATGACGATGAAGATCCTATTTTTTATAATGATCGTAGTGGTGGTGGTGCTGGATCAATGAGCAGTAGCGTGTTGTCCACTGCTGTACATCGCCAGCAACATGATCGTGATGAACAATCACAGCAAGCATCATTATTATTATTGAAAACATCTATTGTTGGCGGGAAATCAATAAATTATTCTACAATGAACTAATAATAACCATTATTATTGATTTTTTGTTATTGTTTTTAAAAAAAAATATTTACTAACTTACTAATAATCTTCACGGTGATCTAGGAGATCATTTCTCTACACATCAGAGTTGTTGATATTGATTCTCATATTGACTTCATTTTTGTTTTATTTTGCTCATTCTTCATTGGCTTGTTGCGTAATAAAGATGCGGAGGCGGCGGGGGAGGAGTAATAAACAGATCTTAATTCTTTCTCACTCTTATTGTATTTGGTTTTATAAGAAGAACAAGACGAAGTATCTGTTTATTATATCTGAGTAGTGTTCATCCTTCTCAATTCACCATTTTTGTATGCCTTTATTGAAAAATACCTCTGAATGGTGTTAACTTAATGCATGAGGCAACATTGTAACCCGTTCCTTTCTTTTATTCCCTCATTCGTTCATTCATCTTTCTCATGTTGTAATAGTTTCTTTCACCACACACACACACACAATGTATTCTTGTGTTATTCAACTAGAGGGTGGGGTGAGTTGACTGTTGGTTAGTTGTCGTTTAACCCTAGAAACCGTTTGTTATTCTTTATTAAATAACTTTTAATAGTTTTTATAATTTTTGTATTTATTATTATTATTAGCAACAGCAGCGGCACCAGAGTGACTGATGAAGATACCTCTAGGCATATAACTCCACTCCACTCCTTTTTTTCGATCTGTTTTTACTCTCTATTACAAAGAAAATTAACTGCCAAATTCAAATGACAAGATTACTTGATGTTCTTCACAGTCATTTTCTTTTATCTCTTTATTTGTGTGTTTGTGTGTGATGGCATAGCATAGATAGTATGTCATAAAAATCAAAACGACAGGGGGTGGGGGTGGTAATGCATTGAATAATAACTTGATTTGATTTTGTCGCTAATTTGAGATGTTGGTACTACTCGGCGGTTAGCTGCGCTCAATCAATCAATCAATCACTCGCTCACTCACTCACTCACTCACTTATAACTGCATCAAAGATTCACAACAGTATATCCTAGTGACTGACTGATTGATCGATTGATTCATTGATTGGTTGGTTGATTGAGATGAGTGTAGCTGTATACCAGTAACATGTAGCAGTAATGCTTGTTAACCAGCCGCCAGCTCTAGTCAGATCGGAGTGATCTCAACAGCCAGATGGTCATTTGCTTCATTCGGTTGGTGTCAGTCTTGATACTTATATCAATTAATTAGTAGTATATGATATAGTGCACCTATATGTGTGCTTGCTGTCTTATGATTGCTATTTGTAGTAACCAAACAGATCACAATTTTTTCGCGAGTTTGACCACCGATTGATATCAATTAGAGAACCACTGATGCTGGCTAGTGACTTGCTACAGGACGGAGTTTCTTGGAGTTCTAGTGAGACGTCGTGACCAGTAAGGTCTATCGAGTCAATTGTGAGGATGAATTTCACGCCGATGACATTAGTTGGTGGCCACGCTAAATCACGAATTGGTAGAAGTTAGAATTCATGGGCTGACCATTGAATCAGGTCCCAGTGGCTGAATGGTATACAAGCCAGCTTGTCTTATAACCGGAAGGTCCTAGGTTCGAACCCTGGTGGTGGGTGCTTACTGCCGATGATTCCTAGAAAATCTAGGATGAAACAGCTGTCCAGTACTCCCTGTCTGTTTGGTTTCAGCATAGAACTTCGCACCGATGTGCAGCAGTTCCAGTCGCCACTCTCCCTACATGTAGCACACAAAGCCAGAGAAGAAGAAGAGAGTAAAAAGAAGTGAAAAATAGAGACAGTTAACAGAGATATGAGGCGAAAAGAATAGTAATATGGTGGAAGAACAACATAGTGTTATTGGGTATTATAAGTCACAAGGAGTGAGTGCATCTGCGCCAGTCAACAGTGAGAACGATGATTTTTAGCTAGTCATATCACCAATTATCTCCAGCCATCACTGCTTTTTATCGTCCCGAGGACCCCAACCAGGAAGCCAGTCTACACCTCCCTACATGGCTGACTGGCTGGCTGGTTTAAACTAACTGTTGTGGATTTCATTGACTGATGAAGCCATGTTTTCGTTTGACCACCACTGGCTCTTTTCGAACCTGAGTGGTCCTATGTCAGTCAGCTAACTGGATCGTGCAATATAGTGTAAGGAAATGCGCCTAAGTAAAGATTGTAGAAGATCTGACCTTTGTGGATGATTTATGTCCAGTGCCATACAAACTCGACGATCTACAGGCTATAACCAAGAAATTAGCAGAAAATGCAGCCAAAACATAGGATTCCACGTGAATATAGAGTAGACAGAAGTGACTGAAGGTATCAGGCAACCAACAACAATAAGCACCAATCAGCATTATTGGGAGGAGTCTAAAGAAAGTCATGCCTTCCAATTATCTGACCTTGGCAGCGTCGTTTCAACTACAGGCGCAACGAATAGGGATTTCAAAACCAGTAGTAAGTAACTCTGCAGTAGATTGTTTATTAGATGTATAACACAGTCAGTGAAACAGGATTATTTACTGGACGACAAAGTTTCGAACACAATCTATTGTTCGAATGAACTGTCGTCAAGATTTGACCGAATAGTTCTAAAATATTTGGGCGCCGAGTGAGAAGTAGACATTTGTAAAAAATTTATATTTGTAATATCTCAGCGATATTGAAGTGAGTAATTCCAACGTTTCATTCGGCAATCTGGTCCGAACTTCTTCAGGGAAAGAAATGTTTTACAACTGTTTACCCACACACACATATACACACTCTGTTTAAAGTGTTTAACAAAGGTAGACCAATATTTGTAAGTCCGAGGTCAAATTTTGATCACAGCTCATACAATTTTGTTTATTATACTTGTTAATACTTGTGTTTATGAATCATGATTGGACAAAGTTTTTAAAAACAAAAGATGTGCCTTTCATATATAAAACCTCTGTTATGTTAATTTTGATTAATTTCCCTGAAGAAGTTCGGACCAGATTGCCGAACGAAACGTTGGAATTACTCATTTCAATCTCGCTGAGATTTTACAAATATAATTTTTTGCAATCTATTGTTTATAATCATTTCATCAATTATAATCACACACACAACTTCGAAGCTTGAGTTTTATAGTTTTCTTTGTTCTCTCCTATTTGTCGTCGTTTGGGTAGTAGAATTTTCCAGAAATCCGACTGGACAGGTGTGGAGTCATTCCTATTGCATGTATTTGCAGTCGGTTCGATAAATAAAGCTTCTGTTATCAATCTCTCCCTCCACCCAGCTGTTACATTAGATTTTAAAACTGTCATCTTATCCCATCCATCCTATTGTATGGTTGTGTGTGTGTGTAATTCCATGTAGTGAGTGGTATAGCTGAACTATTCTCTAGATTTCTTATCCTATTTGGGTCAACTAATCTAGATTTTGCTAGGTTTTTATGCTCGGCTAGTCTGACTGCCCCTGTTCTACTGCTTTGACCTATGTATTTGACCTGACAATCATTGCAGGCAGGGTATCAGACAAACTAAACTGCTTTGTTTATTTGACTCCACAGGATGATCCTTTAACCGACAAGGCTTGTTTCTAATTGAGTTTGTGGGTTTGAATGCCATTTTTATTCCTGCCTTGTTAAGAATTCTGCGTAGTGTTTCCGAGGTTCCTTCCTTGTATGGAATTACTACTAATGATTTAGATTCCTTATTGTTGGTGTTGTCTTGAGCATGTTTGCTATGCATGTCGTCATTAATATTACTATTATTATTATTTTCATTATTATTATCATCACCTAATGTAACAGGGTGTAGGGAAAGATTGATAACAGAAGCTTTATTTATCGAACCGACTGCAAATAGGAACGATTCAACACCTGTCCAGTCGGATATCTGGAAAATTCTACTACCCCAACGACGACAAATAGGAGAGAACACAGAAAACTATAAAACTCAAGTTTCGAAGTCGTGTGTGTGATTATAATTGATGATATGGTTATGAACAATAGATTGTGTTCGAAACTTTGTCATCCAGTAAATAATACTGTTTCACTCTGTGATACATCTAATAAACAAACTAATGTGGAATTTCAAAGCCAGGTTGGGTTGTACTCCAGAGGCTGGAGGTATTGACGTTCACGGATAGTACGAAGTATAGTAACGTAAGATCTAATATCCACAACTTCTATAGTATTTGTTCCGCGTAGACCAAAGGCAAAGCAAAACACCACAATTGACCGTCCAAATTACGAGTTATGTTTCGGGATCAAATCGGCGTGCGAGATGATTGCTTAACTAGCTAGGTATCACGCACGAACGAACGAACGAACATGACACGACGGCGTACCAAATAGCGTGGATGCTTGACCGGAAGCCTTTAGCTAAACAAGTTGACTTAAACAGTGAGGGTCAGCATCCATTGTTCAGTGATGAATGCTGTGGCCAACAATTCTGGGGAATTACCTACCGCTACAGTACCGAAAAAGTCGAGACAATTGTTTATTACTCTGATATTAGTGTGGAAATCTACTTCACTCAAGTATAAGGGACAAGATCCGAATTTTCAAGACTAAGGTCAACTCTGGATCAGAGACTTGACTTATACGTCACCAAAAGCATTTCCAATGGGCTACTGTTTCCTTCGTCGTCTCATCACTGAAGATCAGATGGCCGGTCAGAATGGGATAACTAGGCAACGAGGAACTCCGTCAAGAAAAAAAACGACAACTTGTCGCTGAACTAATGAACATGCAGAAGGAAATGGAGATGTTTTTGGTATACTCTGAGAAGAGACTGTTTCGTGATGCTGCACGCTAAAAACTCAAGTGGAAACCCTAATGTGAATCGTTGAATTAGGCGTCCAAGGGTAACATGGAGGATACCGTGGTGTGAGGAAGAAACGAAACTGTATGGTTATTGCTCTGCTTCAGAAAACTGATTCTTGTATTCGCGAAGTCAGCCTAGGATGACCGCAGAGATCAGGAATATAATGAAATGTATTGCTGAAGCTCGATTTTCCACTTGCACGAATAATAATAATAAAACCATAAAATTTAATTTGCTTTGACAACCTTGAAAAAACTGTCATCCAGTTTATATTGGGCATCTCTGGTTTGCTGTTCATTAGATTCTCTTCAGGGTTCTTCCTCAGGGTCCTTTTTACTGACACAAATTATTTCACTGAAGAAGTTACTTAATGTGCTTATATTTCTTCATAAGTAGAACACACTGCGATTGAAAATTCTTTTTCTTTATTCCAATGGAACATACGGCTTCGAGCTAGGGGCTTTAAGTTTCAGTAGCAGCAGTATTTATGGTTACGGGATGGGATTACTAGCCTCATGCCCAACCTTCCCTCTTTACCAGACTCATTAATGACTTAGCGAGGTAAAGGAGTGTGTCCGTGGCCGGGGATCGAACCCTGAACCACCTGAGGCGTGGAGGGCGAGCATTCTGCCGCTGTGCCACCGGCGAACAATTGAAAATTCTAAATGATATTAACTATTGAATTAGTTGTGTTCTCTGATCTTGTTTTAGTATACTAATACCTGCACTTCCTGGAGATAGACTTTTCGACCTCGAGTATGCAGACGATAT